TAGTCGAGTGAGTACTTGCTCGAACTCGAAATGAAAATATCCCTTAGGCTTTATAGCTGAGTGAGGATTTGCTCGAACTCGAAGTAAAGTTAGCTCATAGGCTTTATGGATAGTCCCTGAGTGAGGGTTTACTCGAACTCGGGTTAAGATAGCCTTTGGGCTTTTATGATTGAGTGGGGACTTGCTCAAACTCGAAATAGAGTTAGCCCTTAGGCTTTATAGATAGTCCTCGAGTGAGAATTTTCTCGAACTCGGGTAGCCCTTGGGCTTAGTGATCGAGTGAGTACTTGCTCGAACTCGAAATGAAAATAGCCCTTAGGCTTTTTTTATATTGGCCCTTAGGCTTTTTTAGATCGGCCCTTAGGCTCTTTAAGTTGGGCCAATTCGGCCTCTAAGATGGCTATAATTTTTCCCTCTATTCGGCTAAAAGACTTAGTGAAAATTTCTTTATGCTAAGCATGTGTTTTTTTGTACCCATTGGATTTTTCGAGGATTCAATCTATCAGAACCTGTTTGTGTTAATACCTATTGAGGCTTTTTCGAAGGCTGATGTTATCGAAGCCTTCAAATTATTTGAAGGCTGACTTTATCGAAACCCTTTTTACTTTTGCCGAGGGTTGCCGAGTTTAACCGGTTATTTGAAGTGTTTGAAAGCCTTTAATTTATGGTGGAAGTCAGACGTCTCCGAGCCGCATTATTTCAGCCGTAGCTTTTTATACGACCGTAGTCTTTAATATGATCATAGTCTTTAATATGGCCGTAGTCGTTAATATGGCCATAGCCTTCGGGTATGTCTCTTGGAATTGTTTCACGATAACCTTTCAAACTTGTCCGAAAGGTTAGTCCCCGAGTATGATGGCCTTGCCCTTTGTGTCGAGAGATGCCTCTTTGAGGTCTTATAAATTCAAGTTTAGATACTCGGATGTGTTGATTGTCGATGACAGTCCCCGAGTATACAAGGTATATTTGCATTTTAGCCCTTGAGTCGTCCCTCGTGGAATCACAAGTATGATGTTCGTATAGTAGCAAGTTTCTTTAGTACACAAAGTGTTTTGATATAGAAAGAATGCTTCTTTGGATAATTGATACATGCATACATGTTTTGCCATCGAGGCTCAACTATTCTATACGGACACGGTTCATCTAACTGTTTGGCCCATTATAAAGCTTTCCCATCGAGACTCGATGTCCTGAAGTGATTTCCTTGCAACAAAGTAGACATTCGAGGGAAATGCCCTTCAGTACTCAAGGCTTATTGTAGGGAACCTCGGATATCATTGAATTGCTCTTAGTTAATACGACAACGAATGCCTCGTTAAAAACCTCGCCGAAAAAACCCATTTGGGATAAAAACCGGTCTAAGGGAAAAAGAGTGCAACGTGTGCTTTGAGGTCCAAAGCTTCGTGCTGATCCTTGTCGAAAACCTGCAAGTGTTAGTCGAAAAAATAGAAAGGATTGGACTGGGGTCGTACCTTTATTCGGATGTTGGATATTTAACATGATCTTCCTCGGCATCAAGCCCCCGTGAATTTTGACCTCGATCATTTCTCCTATCATTTTGTGCAAATCTTTGCCCAGACCCGTTGCTTCTACGGTCTGCGTTATACCGTTGATATCGATCTCTATTCGACCTCTACTCTCGATCGCCGTCTCCTTTGATCCTCCCCATGGGCCTGCTAGGATAAACGGACCCCGAAGGAGTCCTCAGTTGATCATCCTCGACTCTAATCTTCGATTGGTACCGATTATGTACGTCGACCCAAGTGACAGCCGGGTACTCGAGTAAACTTTGCTTCAACTGATGTGAAGCTATAGAACTCCGAGTGTTGAGACCCTGAGTGAAAGCTTGAACAACCCAGTCATCGGTGACCGGAGGCAAATCCATTCTCTCTGCTTGGAACCAAGATATGAATTCTATGAGCATCTCGTTATCTTTCTACCTTACCTTGAAAAGGTCCGGCTTCCTCGTTGCAATTTTAATGGCTTCGGCATGTGCTTTTACAAAAGAATCTGCAAGTATAACAAATGAATCAATATAATTAGGGGGTAAGTTGTGATACCATATCAAGGCACCCTTGGACAGAGTCTCCCCGAACTTCTTCAGTAGTACAGATTCAATTTCGTCATCTTCCAAGTCGTTTCCTTTGATGGCACACGTATACGAGGTGACGTGTTCATTCGGATTGGTCATCTCGTTATACTTGGGAATCTCGGGCATACGGAACTTCTTGGGGATTGGCTTCGGAGTCGCACTAGGGGGAAGGGTTTTTGTACGAACTTTTTAGAATCTAGTCCTTCTAAGATCAGGGGTGCCCCCGGTATTTGATCAACACGGGAGTTATAAGTCTCCACTTTTTTTGTCATTATCCTCAATCTTCTTCTCCTCAGACTCGATTCTCTTGGTGAGTTACTCGAGTATCCTCATAATTGTGGGGTCAGTCGCCGAGCCATTACTGTTTGATCTCTCTGGCACCGGCTCAGTACATCGAATGTTCCCTGGTTTGACCACACTTGGAGTTTTATTCTGACTTTGAAGTTGAGCAATGGCAATCTGTTGAGCTTGTAGTATCTCGAATATTACTTGGAGGCTGATGCCCCCGTCTCCTATACCCTATGTTCCTTGGCAACCAGATCTCACTTCCCTACGTACACTTCCCCATGGGTCTGCGCCTAAATCCGCATTTAAAGCAATGTGTGAACTAACATCGACTGGTTCCACATTTGGCACTTCTCCAGGGGTAATCGGTGGTACACCAGCTCCGGAAGCGGTTACATTTTCATTTTCCCCATGAAATTCAAGATTTTCGTCACCGTGCACGGGCGCGTTTTGTGAGTTTGACATGTTTTAACCTGAAAACAAAGAATCTTTGACAAGAACAAGTGTGAAAATAACGTGTGTTATCAGAATCAGTACTGAAATAACCACTATATCTTTAGCCCCACGGTGGGCGCCAAACTGTTTACCTCGAAAATACGAGTAACAATTAAATTTAATTTGTGGTTTTAAAGATACATGATTAAGTTCAATATTAATTAATAACCAAGAAATCTTATGTATAAATGAAAGAAATAATTAAAACCAAACCAGAATGTAGACTAGTCTCGACCTCGAGCCAAAGTGACCTCAAGATGGATCAAGAACAATAAAGCAAGAATAATAGAGCTGAAGGACAATTCTGATGAACAATGAGCGAAAAAGTAAGAGAGCAAATTTTTTGCCAATGATTAGATGATGTTTACAAATGATTGGGGTCCCCTTTATATAATAGGGGAACCCTAAATAAGGTACATTTCTATTTACAGAAGGAATCTGATTGGGGACAGCTGTATAACCGCCTAGGACGGATTTGTACTAATTCGTACAAATCTATTCCGGAATTTACACCATGATGTTGGGGACGTGGAAGGAATCTTGTCCTTCTGTACCAAACTCATAACGGTATTGTTTCGGAGTCGGTCGTACTTGGATCTGATGTTCCTCGAGCACTTAGGTTTTCGAGCCTCTTTTCTACCTTCGAGCCCGAGCTTGGTCTATATCGAACTTTTGTCCTCGATGCGACTTCTCGAGCCTACAAAATGGGAGGCATATGATTTTGACCGTATACATCGGGCTCACAGCTCGCTCCTAGTCTATTTCGATCTCGCTCTTGAAGTGACCCTCGAGCCCACGAAATCAAATAGCCCCAATTTCTACCGTATACGAAGGGCATCATTCTTATGTCCTTTTATGCGCATGTTGTAAAAGACGAGAGCCATATTATAGTTATGTTTTATAGAAAAAAATTTCTTAATTATAGTTATCGATTTTGATTTCAATACAGGACAATGTGTTTATTATCACCACCGCAATTGAAGAAAATATTAAATACCTAACATGTTGGGCCATGCATTGCACCAGCATCGCTCCTCTAGTATATAAGTATGTGTATTGTAAACACTTTCATGCAGTTTCCTTTTAAATAATATGAGTGTGTAGATATTAATTTTATAATATTTTTAAAATACTTTATACACAATCAATGGCAAAAAATTAAAATATTATGTTTTACCAGTTTATTAGTAATAAATATGTAGAGAGGGGAATTATGCATCAGATGTACATTCACAAGTATTAACAACTGAAAACAAAGGCAACAATGCGAATGTACTACAATTTGTTCTCTTCGCAGAGTACGTCGCAGTAGGGGTGCTTATCGGGCGGATCAGATAGATATTGATGCTTAACGGTTCAACTTATCGATCACCGATTTTGAATATAGTAATCCGCTAGCCAACCAATAAGTACCGGATGGATTGATATCGGATTAGCATAGCGGTTTATCGGCTAAATCAAATAGACAATAAAAAAAATATAAAGAACTAGAGATAAGGGAAAATCTAGGTCCACATTTATTTATATAATATTTTCTAATCCATGTGACATGCAATATCTAGTACAAGGGAGAGTAAATAAGTATGTGGTATGGATAAAAAAATTGACAACTCATTTAAAAAAATATTTTACGAGAAAAACAAGTTAGTTAATTAATGCACAAAATTCATGTTTGAACTTTGAAGAGCTGACTGTTGAGGGTGTTGAATTAACAAATTAGGGATTTAGGATTTCAAGTAGTACTTTATATACATATGGTTAAAAGTGTAAAATAATAATTTTTAACGGGTTTATAGTTTAGCCGATAAGAAAATTGGATAATTTGCTCCCAAACTGTTAAGCCATTAATTATAAAATTTTAATCAGTTCACCAACCATTAACCCGATAACCCGATATCAATAAGCCAACAAGCCAATCTTATGATTCGGTTAATGGTTATGGTTCAATTTTGAACAACCATACATTGCCGAATGAACGCACCGTAGTTCCCGTAATTAGTAGGTACATGCTCCACACTATACATCTAGTTCAGCAAAAGCAATCCTAATATATAGTAGGCCACTTGAACTATACTTCAAAAATAGTCTCTAACTTGTAAGCATAATACAGAAGTACTTTAATCGCCATTGTAAGGAAATTCTTCGACAATAGTTTTTAGCATATCTAATCAGTATTGTACGTTTTATAGATCCCCATGAGACAGTTGCTACCGAAAGAACGCAGCATTGAACTCTTCCTATATACCCTAGTAACATTAAATCCTTATAGCACATCTGCGACACCCCACTAATTTTTTTCACCTAATTATAATATGCTTTGCATTCTCTGTACAACTTAATTATTGTTGCTACAAGGTATATGAATTCTTATTAAGAATCCAAATATCCTAGAAGTACTCAATGTTAATGTATGAAGAATCAGTAGAACAACTCTTGTTTTTATCATGACTAACAATTTCAGCCGCAAACTTCTTGTCTGAATGAGCTGATGATTCTTTACTGGCATATTGGGAAAAGTCGACAGGCTCAGGTACATAAGGAGGAACAGCACTTCTCACCAAAGCCCAATTCACACCCTCGAAAAATGGATGTTGTTTTATCTCAGCGGCGCCCCTCTTATACGCGATTCTCTTCTGTGGCTCCTTGACGAGGAGCCCTCTTATAAGATCTTGAGCCATGGAACTCACTTGTGGAGCTTCTGGAAATCTTAATGGTTGGCCTACTACATTAAACAGCGTGGCGCGATTTCCAGAACCTTTAAAAGGAGTTGTCCCATGCAAAAGTTCGTACAGGAATATACCAAAAGTCCACCAATCTACTGCACTACCATGACCCTCACCGCGGATTATTTCTGGGGCCAAGTATTCATGAGTTCCCACAAATGACATTGAGCGCACATTAGTTGGCTCTGCCATTAGTTCAGGGAGTGATCCTCCCACAAACAGCCCAAAATCTGATTTAGACTTGCGATTCTTCTTGGTAGGAAGAATGCGAGGGAGAAAATTTGATGGTTGCATACAACCCTGCATTGCATTCTCATCATCTAAGATGCCTCCTCCTCCTCCGCTTTTAGAATTTGTATTACTGCCATAATTCCCTCCTGCATGTACAGATGAAGACTTCACAAGAGTTGGATTGACGGAGCAACGGAGTGACAGGTCAAAATCAGACAGCATAATATGACCCTCAGCCCTCACTAGTACATTTTCTGGCTTTAGATCTCTGTATACAATTCCTAGCATATGCAGATATTCAAGTGCCAACAATACCTCTGATGCATAAAACCTGCAAAATTAATTATCAATCACAGTTAATCGATTTTTCAGGAAGGTATTTTTAACATATATCAACTCCAAATACCATTTATGAGTTACTTCAATCAAAAGCATCAAACAAATCAAGTGAAATAATTTAAATCATTAAATGCCCTTATATCAAGATATAAGAAGGTTTGGATGTATTAATTCTAGTTTATATTGAGTTAGTGAAAATGATATATTTCTTTACTGGTCTTTCAAGTACTGGAGAAGCTATCGTTAGAATGTGAAAAACTGATAAGATAGATTGAGTATAACTTATCGCTTCAAGTTCATAATATTAATAGAATTTCATCAGTAACAACAGATTTAACTTCTTCACAAAGTAGCAAGTAGAACCATAAATTTCACAATTGTTTCTCTCTCACGTAATGTTATTACTCGCATTTAATTGCTTAAACAGACTTTTTTGGGCAAAGATTATAACGATCAAAGACAAAGGTTCTCTTATCAAACTGATCATGTTGAGAACCAATTGAGTTTCCTCATTGGTTGGAAAGACTATTGGTAATAAGAATATAAGAGTAACACACCTAATAGACTAGTCTTTTAGATTGGGCTATCCTGATAAGTCTATAGCAATTGGTATGAGAGGATCAAGTGACTCGGAATGGTGGCCTAGACTTGTGGGGGGTGCAAGCCGTTACCAACTGGTTTGAGTGACACGACATAAGAACAGGCTTAAACTAAGATGCATTTGCAAAAAACTATAGAGTAACATGATATGAGAACAGGCTGATTGATTTAACATGAAAAGAGCGGAACTAATTAACATACCTAGCAGCTTCCTCAGTAAAATGCTTATTGGGCTGCTTTTGGCGGAGGGAGTGAAGGTTACCACCACTGCAGAACTCCATGACTATGCAATAGAACTTGTCAGTCTCAAAGTAGGAATACAAGGTGGGGAAGAATGGATGATCAAGAAGACCAAGAATCTCCTTTTCTGTTTGAGCTCTAAGCAATTTATTTCTACTTGCTAGAGATCCTTTATCCATGACTTTCATGGCAAAGTAAGTGTTCGTTCCTCGCAGTTCCACAAGGTAAACACTTCCAATATCCCCATAGCCTAGGCGCTTCAACAATCGGAAATTGCTAAGGCCAAGGGGAGATGATCCTCTTGAAGAAAGAGAGTTAATGGCATCCCATCGAACATCACCACCAGTGTGGGGCTTGAGAGGTGCACTACTGGAACTCTCTAAGCTATCGCTACGTGTACTTGTCTTCATGACTGTCTTTGGGCTAGGCAAGTTGTAGGGATTAGTTGTAAAAATATTATTAATAGCTTCATCATTTCTGGATTCACATGGCTGGACGTTATAGGTTAGACTAGCATTATTTTTGGAACTCTGATTTGTACTAAAAAGCGGTTGATGCTGCAATTCAGGACCAGAGTTTGCACTATTTTTTAGCAATTGCTCTGATGTGTTTTGGTTATATGGAATGGTAGAAGTGGAAGTGCAGGCAGCCTTGACAGTTTCGTCGTTCTTTCTGGACTGACTTGCAGCTTCTAATGGCATATTGTTCATCTGCACCAATTGATAAAATCCTTGAAACGTAAGTAGTGAACAAATAATTAATAACATGGTACAAGCAACAATTGGCAAGCAAGAGTAATATAGTACCTAATTCATGATCATTATAGTATTCTGGCCAAAGAACTCGTGGAATTTAATACTATTACTATTACACAATGAAAGCTGCAGACTGCTGACCTGGAGATCACGGGTTCAAGCCGTAGAAACAGCCTCTTGCAAAAATGCAGGGTAAGGCTGTATATAATAGACCCTTGTGGTCCGACCCTTCCCCGGACCCCGCGCATAGCGGGAGCTTAGTGCACCGGGCTGCCCTTTACTATTACATAATAAGATTTTAGTAGCATGCAAGCTGCAGACAAACATTGAATCATGAAATTTCTGAAAATAAAATTTGGAACTCTTGCGAATATTGATGTATTAGAGAAGTCGTAATAGATTTTCCTTTAATTTTTTTTGTCAGATTTCTTGCATAGGTTGTAGATAGAAATAGCCTGAGTAGTTTCCCAGAATTGTGGAAAGTTACTCCTTCACCTATAATGTTATATATCCGATATGGATGATACAAACAACTGAATATCCTGGCTATGAAACAGAAAACTGATTCGACAAAATTAGAAAGAGAGAGTAGTTGTTATCAAATATGATTAGATTGAAGCATTGTCCAAGAGGATAAACCACAATTGTCAGAAAAAGAATAGTATATAAAACTATTGACCTCGGATAGCTCTCCAGATTTGGGCTTTGTGTTAAGATTCAATTAAAGAAAGAACCTGCCATAGCAGAAATTAAGTAATCAAATTCATCAATGTTAGCGATATGCAAACATGAAAAATAGAATACAAGCAGGAATGAAAGAAGGACAAACCGGATGATTGGAACAAACATATATTTTGCTCTATACTCATTCATTTCATTTCTTCATTAATCCCAGCTGATCATGTGTGGAGCCAATAGGTTGATTATAGGATTTTAATCAATCAACATGGAACATTGATTCAACTAAGGGATTGTGTTTTTCTATCCTCGTCTCTAAGAAAATTGTCACATTATTATTATTATTGGTTTTGAAGGCATTTGGAGAGAAAATGGTGGGAATGAGGAGAGAGAAGAAAGTCAGACAAATGAAATCCATGTCTATTTATTTTATACTATAATAATAATAATAATAATAATAATAATAATAATAATAATAATAATAATAATAATAATATGACTAAGTTGACAAACACCAGGAACAACCACAGACAACGTGGTGAGAGGAAAGAAAGATGAGGGGGGAAACGGTCAGCTCTCTGCCACTGCCCAGATTAGGGATCTTAATTATCGCCTTTTAAATCTCTAAGATTATTGGCACATAACATATCTATATATCTCTCTATTCCACGTCTCTCTTTTTGTTATTTATGCAATTTTCGTTGGGACCTTTTTATGCAAGAACAACTACTGCGTGACTGTCATCAATTTTTTTATATATTGACTATACATATATATCCGTCAAATATTTTTAGTTTAAGAGATAATTAGGTGGGCAACTATTTAGGTTAGTTCTTCTTTTTTTTCTTAAAAAATATTGAATTAAGATAGAAATTATATTTTATAAAAAAACCTTATATTAATATTTAGCTTTAGGCCACAAAATATGTCGAGCCGCCCCTGCTAGTACTTAGAGATTGTTTTCAACATTTAACATTGAAAAATAGCACAAAATAGTATTTTACTCACCTAGTATATATTGTTGTTGTCTATATCACTGAATTAATTTTACTCAATAAAACACATGACAATAGTTCAGAGATCGGAACATTATTCCCCACCGTAAACATTTTCTACGAACCATTTTAGATGGAAAACATTTTCTTCTACTGTTGTGAAACCACCCTCGCATGTGTCTTCGGTCACCACTAGTTTTTCTGGTAATTATCAAGTAATGTTCTTGTTTGACTCAAAAGATGTTAAAATTTTTTGAACAAATCAATCGAAGATGAAGGGGTAACTCTTAGCTGGAGATAATAATCTCTAGAATGAATAATAGTAGATAAAAGAAGATGAATGTTAAGTTTCTTTTCATTCAAGAATAGTAAGTTTTCCAGAGTCTCGATGCCCTATTACAAGGTTTTTGTCCCCCTTATATACTAGAGAGAAACTCTTCTAAATTGTAAGAAATGAAATACAAGGAATATTCTTAATGTTCCCTAATGGGCTTACTCTACTGCAAGGGCCGTACAGTCTCTTCTTTTGCCCTAAGGTCGTCTCCCTCGGGACGTCGACTCGAAGATACCCGGTCATTTATCGTACTCGTTGTAGGTCGTGGTTGGTCAAATTTGGATCCATACAATTAGTCCCTCCGCTCGTCGGGGTTGCGACTGGATGCGTCCTCGATGAGCGGACTTCATGCATTTTTTGGAGAAATTTGACCTGTTGAAACGTCACGACGTGGCCAACGGAAGATGGTCATCATGTTTAGCAAAACACCGAGTGGTACACTTTACCGGGGAGTGATGTCAGCTTTACGTGCGTCATCATTACACAGGTTTTCGAGGCAGGGATTGACGGCTTGGCGCTTCGATTCTTGCGCTGCTTTGAGACCTGCCGCCTCGATTCTGGCGCTACCCAACCCTATAAATAGGTGAATGATTTGATTTTCCGAAAAACTAGCCATTTCTCTCTTGATAACCTCTTTCACTCTTCCTCATTTGCTCTCATATCCTTCTGTTTCTTGTTTCGTTCCTCACCTGAAGTTTCTTCTTCCTTCATCCTTTTGTGTTGATATTCCTTTGAACAATATCATGCCGAGGTCTCGTCGTTCTCGTGAAGAGGTTCCTGAAGCCACCCCGTCGTCCACGATGCCTCCTTTTGACGGCACAAATATGGTGGTAGAAGAGGGTGACAGCCCTCCTACGGTGGAGGAGTTACTACCGAGACACCCCTTATCCCGGAGTGACTTCCTCAAAGATCCCCCTCCTACCCCGAACCCTGTATTTTCTGAGATGGAGCAGGTCCATATCGATGCCCTTTGTGTAAAGTAAGGCATTCCTGCTCATATAGAAATAGTTCCGGCGTGGAGAGATTACGTGGACATCCGCAGACCTGGGTATTGCGCTTTCTATGAGTACCCTTTTATGATCGGCTATACTCTTCCCCTTAGCGAAAGAATTCTGTAGGTTCTACCAAGTTTGCCCAGCACAACGTTCGCCATATACGCTCAAGGTGCTTCTGCTATTGACCAAGTATGCAGGGTTGGCAGAATGTAGCATTTTTGTCCACCACCTTTTGCACCTGTTCATGCCTAGCTTCCTCAGGGGTACCATGGTGAATTTGAGGCTTCGTGGCACGAAAGGGCTGGTGGTCAGGACGGATGACCGGGCAAGCCGCAAGTTTTGGCACAAATACTTCTTTGTCAAGACCGAGCACGTCATTTCTGACTCTGCCAGATTCCCAGAGCGGTGGAACGAGGCTCGTAAGTGTCGTCACTCATTTTTTTCCCTTTCTTCGGTATTCACTGTAAATTTTATTTGCTTGCCGTTTTGCAGCTATGGGTCATCCGCCTCGCCCTATTGCGGATATCAAGGATTGGGTAGCCCCTCTATTGCCTCATGCAGCAGAAACTCGAACTTGGCTCGCCTTCGTGAAGCGTTACGTCCCTAAAGTTCCCTCTGGCAAATGTCTTACTTACTTCTTCGTTGGCCATGCGACCTTATTTAATGGTACGACCCTTTGTGATAACAGGTTGAGGAGCTTCCAAGCGAAGGGCGCTAGTCCCCGCCTTTCGACAAGCCGTTGCTACTACAGATACGCAGTTTGTTCTGAGTGAGTCTGTTCGAGAGGGTCGTCCTCAACCTATTCAATTGGGAGATTCATCTCAAGTCGTGGACGCGAGGGAAGAGGCTTCTTCGGCATCGGCCTCACATCCTTTGGATGAATCCTCTAACGGGGACGAGTCATTGTCGAGGAAAAGAAGGAGGCTGGAGCTTGGGAAGGGCGTGGCTACGGACGATGATAGAAGCAGGGCGTCCCGGACAGCCCCTCTGCCCATATTCATGGCCGACACCATTTTGTCGGGGAGATCTCCCCAAGTGGAAGGAGTTTGCCTAGGAGCTAGTTTAGTGCGCTCTGTTGAGGGTGGTGCGTCGTCCAACGTTGGAGGGAATCATGTTGAGGGTGGCGACTCAGGTTCGGATATTAACCTAGAGAATGTTAATGAGTTCGTGGGTCGCCACACCCATGTGGAGGTTAGGATGGACGGATCTGACCGTTATGTGGTCGTTCCGGGGGACTACAACTTGCTGCTAAACAGCGAGCAGGTGGCGTCTGCCCTAGCTCCTCTATGTGCCGCTCCTGAAAGCGAGATGCTTAGGGCGATGAGTGACGTGGAGTTGTCTCAGAAGGTCGCTGGTATGGCCCTACAGGTAGGCGCCTTTCCTTCCCTTTTCGTCGTTGGGTTTGTGCGGTAATCGTCGTTCTGTATTTTGTTTCTAACTTCTGCCCTTCTTTTTTTTGTCAGACCCTCATCATGGAGGTTGAGAGAGAGCGCCGAGAGAGGAAAAGGACGGGCCTTTATGAGAAGATGTCGTCCAAATATCAGCAGTATCGTGCTAAGCGTCGAGCGATGGCCGGCATTTATCATCAGGACCTCAAGTTCCAGTTGTTTCGTGAGGGGCTCAAACAGCGGGAGGACTAATTAGAGCGTAAGATTGAAGAGTTGAGGGAAAGGGATGAGAAGCTCATGAAAACTATCGCTCGTAATAGCGAGCTCGAGGCTTCCCTCAAAGTGAAGGACGACGAGTTTGAGTTGAGTAGGGGCTGATGGCCGAAAATGCCGACTTGCACGCAAAGGTGGTCGGTTTGACCGCCGAACTGAATGCGAAAGCAAAAGAAGTAGAGGGGCTTAAGTGCGAGCTGAGCGTCGGTACTAATAAACTGGCAGCAGCTATTTCTGAATCGGTATCTTTGGAAGGTGCCCTCTGCATTTCTAGGTCAGAGTTGACTAAAGAGAAGGAAGCCTCTGGTCGTCAGGTTGCAGGGCTCGAAGAGCGTGTCAAAGAGCTGGAGGCGGAGCTGGCTGCACTAAATGGATGAATGGCCTTGCTGAGGGCGGAGGATGCGAGTCGACGTTCTCAGCATTCTATGTCTTGTGCCTCAGTCGATCTGGTCGTGCCCCGTCGTCTATATGATTTGTGGGTCCACGCGGAGGCTCGACTTGATGTGTATAAGGCTTTTACCGCTGAGGGAAGGGCTACTGAGGCGGAGGTTCAGGCTGTGCAAGCCGAGGCTCGTGCAGCTCGTGAGGCATGCGGGTACGACCCCCTCACACCTGACGGGGATGATATTAACTCTGATGATGTGAACCGCCTTGCTTCAGATTCGTAGTACGAAGATGCTTACCCCACTGGGGATGATACGTAGTTTTTGTTTGTACTTGCTTTTGTTTAGGGGTTTTTGCACGGGGCATACTTGAGCCCATTTGTAGGGGCAAGTGTAAATAACGTTTTGCTGTAATGTAAAATTTACTTTGTCGGCTTGTTCTTTCTTGCATTTATCGAACCCATGATATTGTCGATGCCCTTGGCTATCGGGATGTTGCTTCGAACTGACGTCGAAGCGGAATCCCATCGTAGTTCGAACGAGGTCGAACTTATGTTTTTGTTGATGGCCTTGGCCATTAGGATGTTGCTTCAAACTGTCGTCGAAGTAGAATCCCGTTGTAGTCCGAAGGAGGTCGAACCTACATTGTCGTCGTTGGACTTGGTGATTGGGATGTTGCTTCGAACTGTTGTTGAAGTAGAATCCTGTCGTAGTTCGAACGAGGTAGAACCTATATTGTCATCGATGGACTTGGCCATTGGTATGTTGCTTCGAACTATCATCGAAGTAGAATCCCATCGTAGTTCGAACGAGGTTGAACCTATATTGTCGTCGATGGCCTTGGCCATTGGGATGTTGCTTCAAACTATCATCAAAGTAGAATCCCTTCGTAGTCTGAACGAGGTCGAACCTACATTGTCGTCGATGGCCTTGGCCATTGGGATTTTGCTTCAAACTGTCGTCGAAGTAGAATCCTGTCGTAGTCCGAACGAGGTTGAACCTC